ATATATATATATATATATAGTAGCAGTGAGTCAAATTTAATCTTCTGGGACATACTCTTCTTTATAATGTTGAAATTGAAAACAGTTTTCCAATGTGCCTGTGATAGGGTGCATTACTATCAGTTTTCCTCTTCAATAAGTGAAATAACTTACCCTGTAAGGTTTATTAAAAATATATATATATATATATATATATATAGTAGCAGTGAGTCAAATTTAATCTTCTGGGACATACTCTTCTTTATAATGTTGAAATTGAAAACAGTTTTCCAATGTGCCTGTGATAGGGTGCATTACTATCAGTTTTCCTCTTCAATAAGTGAAATAACTTACCCTGTAAAGAAAAACGGGAGAATCATACAAAATTAAAATTAATACGTCAAGTCCCCAAATACTTGTGCTCTGGATTATAATTTAGAAATTTGTGTCCAGATAAAGGCACTTATTTCCAAGTAAATTTGCACTAAAATTGTTAAAGCAGTGATTGCACCCCTGGGAAATTCCTAGTTTAGTTCTCAAAAAGTAACAAGAAGAAAATAGAAAGATTGGAACAGTCAACATGGTCTAGAAAATATGCCATAATATTCTTTTAAAAAGCTTACATCTGTAAGATGCACTTAGTTTGTTCTTTGGGAGTTCAATTTTATTTCATTGTGTATTTTACTTTTTGTGTGAGGTCAATCTGAGCACCCAAAAGCAAGTTAACTTTCTACCTGGTGAGAAATGACATTGTCTATGTTGAAGAAAACATTACCAAACATTCTAGATACTTTCTTCATTATAGATATTGCACAAAACCCACAAAGATATGTTGTGTTGCTTAGAGCAAGTACATAAATCATTTGGCAAGTTCTGTTACAAAAGGGAGATACCTCACAGGGGAACCAATATAACATTATCTAAAACTTAAAGAATAGAACTTAGTGCCTTGGGTTCATCCACTATCATTGATGTACTCATAAGCATTTTAAAATAATTTTCTCTGGGCTCAAAACTCAAGGTTGCAGTCACTGGGAGGGATACAATAATGTCACTGTATGATTGCTGTCTTTAAAATGTCTCAAACCAGTGAGGGAGGTAAAGTAATCTTTAGGAAACAATTAGAAAATCCAATACAAGAAAATAAAAGTAGTGACAAACTAATATATACATAATTTCTTAGGAACCGAAAGGATAGTATGAGATACAGATGAATAAAACGGTTTTTCTTTCTCTGTTTTTTATCCAAACCCAAATACACACACACACACACACAGAGTAAATACACAAAAACTCTGTAACACCTGACACAGGACTCTCTTCCCTCAGTAAGTAGGTCTCCAAAATAACTTAATATTAATCAAAAATTAATTCATGGAGAAGCAACTGCTCCATTCACATACTGAATCTAGAAATTCAATTCATGAAATCTAAGACACTTTTATGATCAGAAGATTTGCTTTTTTCATTGCTAAATGTGTGGCATTTGTTAATTTTGTTATTCATGGAAGAAACAAAGAGACTTTAAAAGAAGGAACTATTTAAAGTGATTTTCACACTGACCAGTGAGTCTACCTTCACTCCTCTCATGAATATACCTTCATTTGTTCTGTTTCTCACTACTAAATTATTGAGGAGGTGCCAAGAAATAATGGCTGAAGAATTTTGTGTTGCCTCCAGAACTGTGATAACATAAAATTTCAGTTGTTTAAGCCAAAAATTTGTTTTAAGTGTGCTGGTGGTTACTGATGAAACTTGAAGGGAAAGTAGAGGGAACTTGGAATATATATATCAAGAACTGTGCCCAGGGAGGGAGCAGATCTCCTGGCAGAACCCAAGAATAGCTCCCAGCTGAGACCCTAGGACTACAAAGAGCCAAATGAAAAGTGAGGGAGAAAACAGGTGATGCATATCTATGCATACAAAGAGCCAAATGAAAAGTGAGGGAGAACCCAAGGCTGCATATGGTACAAAGGACTCTTTGTCCCTCACTCCACATTGCAGAGCAGCCTGTAACCAGGCATTTATTCTCCTGAGGTTCTTCTTTAAAAGCAGTTGAAGAAGGCAGAGAACGGCTAAGAGAGATTATTAGTGACCCTGGAGTAAAGCCTTCCCCATTCTGGCATTTAAGGAAGTAAGAGAACAAACTGCCTATCTCTTTGCTCTAAAGAGAAACTCCAAATCAACAAATTATTCCACATCACCAGATTTTTCATCCTTAAATGTGAAAGAATGTGAACGGATTACCTGAAGAAACCATTAAACATTCAAGGAAAACCTCTAGGCACAGAGGCAGAAATAGTGAAGAGAAAGAATTCAGAAAACAGAAGGGGACTAAGATATATATAAAATAGAAAAACAAAAGCCCTTTTTTCTTTTCACTTTCACAGTTTTATTGCAATATATTTTATATATATATATGTTTATATTGTAGTATATTTACCCATGTAAAGTGTACAATTCAATTTTTTAATTAAATTTACCAAATTATGAAACCATCACCATAAATCAGGTTTAGGACATTTTCATCACTCCAATAAGATTCTTTGTATCCATTTATCGTGAATCTCTTTTCCTACCCGCTGTCCCGAGCAACCAATAATTTGTCTCTATAGATTTGCCTTCTCTGGATACTTCATATACATGGAATCATATAATCTGTAGACTCATGTCTTGCTTCTTTCATGTATGTTTGTGAAACACACTGAGGCCTGTCCCTGTTGTAGCATATAAGCTTCATTCATATTCAGAACTCTTAACACCCATCAGGAGACAGTGGACATTACATCTATAATGAAAGAGAAGGATGTAATGAGAAAGAAATAAACATAGGAAAATGGAAAGCATTTGGAAATTAAAAATATAAGTGCCAAAACAAAAATATATTAAAAAGAATGGAAGGTAAAGTTGGGGAAATCCCCTACTGTCGTAATCACTACTAACAGGTTTGCATTCCCTCATATCCTTTTTTTAATTTCCTAGTCTGTGCACTTAGATATTAATTTTATAACTAAAGGTTTTTAATTAAAGGTTATGCACATCACAAAATAAAAATAATTTATGTAAAGAGAGGTTGAAAAAAGAAAAAATGCACATCTGCATAAAGGAATATTTTTTCATCCAGAGCAAGGCATATTGGTAGATGTCATTAGCATTAGGATCATTTTTATCAGACTGTAATTACAATCTTGTATCTTTCTTTTCTCACTTAAGCTTTCATGACCATTCTACTGTTATCACACTGACTTTAAAAGCTTCACTTTTCATAACTGCCACATATTTCATCCAGTGACCTTGTACTTGGTTGAATCTTGACGACATTCTCGCATTTGCAAATGTTTAAATAAATATGTATCACCGTGTAAACACTGTTCTAATTATAGACTATTCCTCAGGTTAGATTGTCCAGTGAAATTTCTGGGTTGAAGAGTATGGATACTTTTTAAGATCTTTGTTATATCTTACTGGTTATTTTCCATGAGGTGTATAACCTAACCATTCTACATGACAACTTGCACAGATTTGAAAGAAACACTTAGCAGTAATACATTTCCCATCAGCTTATTCACCATAATGTGCCAATTATAAATTTATAATATGGCATTAGTACTTTAGTGACCAACAGGAATTTAATTTGGGGATAGTGCTGAAAATACTTCCTTTTACCACATTGTTCAGATTAAAGTAGCCAGCAAATTCCATGGTGTGATAATATGCTTTATGTTTAAATATAATATAGATTCATCTTTCTACCTACACCAGTACACACACACACATGCACATGCACACAAACGTGAACATTCCACAATATTACTTATTAAATTTACATGTTTACCAGCATGAACAACAACATAAGTGGTTGCTTCAGTGGCATTTCCTAAAATGCTATCTTCCCAGATTGGTTCAGATGTGCTTCTTAATACTTCCAGAATGCCCACAGTCTGTATTATTGTTCTTACCAGATTGCATTTAAATGAACTCTCAATTAAGATGAACTCTTTTTTAAAAAATCATCAGTATATAAGTAACACAAAAGTAGATATTCTGTTTGATTCATATTTCCAGCCCTAACATCAAATACATAATGCCTACCACGTAATTTATTCACCATGTTTATCAACATGAACTGAACTTACTTAAATAAGTTCAGGAGAGTGTGAATTTAGGCCCCTTTCAATAATTATTTTGCTTTTATTTCCTTACGTTAGGAAACTGTGCATTACAGAAATATTTCTGCCATTTCTTTTTTCAAATTGGTTATCTTGAAACTAAATTTTTAAAATATTTTTAATTTTTTTAAAAAATCAAAATCTATAGAGTTGAATTAATAAATTTAGGGAAATGAAATAGACAATTATCACTTATAGATTTATTTAAGTAGCAAATAAGGGAATCCAAATTTGCAAATGTTTATTTTGGAAATCTAATTCTCAAAAAACAATTTTTCTTAGCAATTACTGAAACAGAAAGCCTCTCTGTGCATTTGGAATGTAATTTTCTATACCAATCTCATTGGGAATATGCGAACTACATAAGGCATGCCTGAAATGCATTCCTCAGAACCTATGGTCCAGTTTTTCTTGATCATAGGACTTTCTAGGCCAGTGTTTGGGTTCACTTTGGTTTCTCTCTATATCATATGATCTGCTTTTTGCCTTCCAAACTTCATAAAAATCTTGTCTGATAACAGTTTCTTCCAGTATTCAACTCCATTGTGGATTTATGATTCCCTTTTCTACATTTTTATTGTTATTTCAGATGGATTGGAATGAGGGCTGAAGGATAGGTAACTCCGTGTCAGCTTTCCATTTGAACTAAAATCTTTAACTGTTTAACAATAAATATCATTTTAAGGTTGAGTATTGTTAATTGGATATTTTTGTCAGAAGGAATTTACTGATAAAATAGAAAATGCTGCCAAACATTGGTTGATCACACCATGAGACTTTTTTTTAAAATTATGGGTCTTAGTGGTCTTTGAAAGTAAACTACCAAACAAACTTCCCTTCTTGTATTTATAGAGATCTGCTTGCTGACCAAGGGCCGCCGCACTGCCAGTGTTCGAGCTGATACATATTGTCGTCTTTATTCACTTTCTGTGGACAATTTCAATGAGGTCCTGGAGGAATATCCAATGATGAGGCGAGCCTTCGAGACCGTTGCCATTGACCGACTAGATCGGATAGGTACTCTCTTCAGTTTTCTACCTTTTTTGTGTACAATTTAGTTATACTTTAGTGGACTGATATATGTTTGCAATCGTAAGTCCTAAATGCTATAGTAGGTTGCCTATTAATTAGCATAGAACTAGCAGTTAGCTCTAGCCCTATTTCTACTATCTTTCTCTTCTAAGTATTCTGGGTTTATTTAATCATCTCTATTTTTACTAGCTGCTCAGTCTGATTTCCCCAGTGATGCCAAAACAATTTGAATCTTCAGGTAAAAAACAATGATAAAAATTTTAGGTAGCACTAAAATAGAACTAAAAATATAATAGTATGAGTCTACATTACAAACCAAATAATTTTACTACAAGGTTTAAAAAAATTTTATGTATCAACTTTACATTTTTAGCTGTATATTGAGAACTGAAAACTTGTACATTTTATTTGTCTGAGTAGAAACTTCTGGAAACGTTTGTAATACAGACTCGTGCAGGAAAAACCTTCCTAGAAGTGCCCGACATAGATGCTTTACTTTGTAAACATCAACTTATTTTACAGTCTTCTCTGCTCTCCAATAAGAATATATAAATTAGACCTTATTAGTTACACTAGTTTAAAGATCTGAAGAATTGCTATAGTAAAGTTAGAACAGATTGGCTTGCTATTCGCTTCCCAAGATATGCTGGAACATTCTGACGTCAGAAGGTGGTATGCATTCATTTTCTATACCTAAATCCTCTTTCCCCACCCTACCACGCTCTGCCCCCTTTCCTTGCTTAACTCTACTCCATTCATAACCTGGGTTTAGACATCCCTTCCCTGTAGAAATCTTCTGTGACCTCCTACTGGCTCCTAGGCTGAGTATCCTGGGTATGTTCTCCCATCCCCCTAGGAATTTCCTCCATCACAATACTGCTTTTATCATTGCAATTGCTCCAACGATGCTAAGATTTGTGAATGTAGAGATCATGTCTAATTCACTATTACATTCACAGTACCTAGTACACAATGAATATTCTTGAAGCGAGCTGGTAGGGAGGGATGAAGGAATCAATGATCTCAAAGGATATGGGGTTGGGATCACTTGGAAGTAAACAAGTGCTTCATTCTTATTAAAGGTAAGGATCACTGATTGATGTAGTCTTATGTCAGCTTTTCTTACGCACTCTGTGTCTTTCTTTCCTTTTACAGAGTGGGATGACAGGTACATTAGGCTCTGAAATTAGATTAGGAGAAGTAAAGGTAGTATTTGGACATTATCATTAGACATAAGACACATATTAGAAATTCACATTGACAATTTAGACATGTAATAGGACATAGTATTGAGAGAGACAGTGCCCATAAAAGTGGGTATTCCTGAAAGCATCTTTATTTAATTTGAAAATAATTTACCTCTCTGTGGTATGTGAGTGCTCATGGTAGAGCTAGAGACTAATTTCTGAGCACATGCGTTTTTTTCCTAAGCCAGCTAGACATTTTCAGAGAAAGCGTTAAAATCAGGGTATTTTAATAGAGAATTTCTGTTAATCTGATCAGCTTTACTCTCGTCTAACTTATTCCAATTAATTTTTATAAGAAAGTTTGCATGAAATGGTTTGCAATCAATAATGCAGGCAATAAAATTGCTAATAAGCACCAAGCATTTGCAGTTTTGATCCTTATAAAATTCTAACAGTGCATTAAAAAGTATAATATTTCTCCACAAGTTCACAGATATTTACATTACAAACTGTTGACTATTCACATGATCACAAAGAAATATTATCCATTCTGTGGCTATTGCTTATACATGTAAGACCATATTTAGTTAAGGCAATATGCTAAATAAGCATTTATATTTATTACAGATACAGGAGCTTTTGTTCTTGAGAAAATTAGAACATTTCTATAAGGAGAGACAAGCATTTATTTCGGCAGTCATTTAAAATGATAGTTTTCCAGCATCCAAGTAAATTATAACAAATATTTCCATTAAAAAGTATTCCTTCTAACTCTAACTTCATTTAGCAATATGGCAAGCTGATTCACTTTTCAGTTACGATATTTATCTGGGGATTATTTTATCAATGATGTCACCAAAAGTCACTAATTTCCCCCTTTCATCGATCTAATTTTGATTCTATTGTCATCCTGCCAAAGAATGTCTACTTACTGCAAACCACTCAAAAGACAATGGCAGGAAGGAGAGGTAATGCTTACTGAGGTTCTAGAGGGAGCTGAGAACCTGCCATACACTGTGCCCCTTAATCCTCACAAAGACCTTTCAGAAAAGGAAAGATTATGAAATGGTTCTCCACCTGGCCATGCATAAAAATCCTCTGAGGAAATATGCTTTTAAAGTACTGAAATCTGGACCCCATGTCTGGTTATTCTGGTTTAATTAATACGGTTCAGATGAAAATCAGTATTTTTCAAAGCTTCAGAGATGAGAAGACTATGAACGTATGGTGGAGGATCACTGGTATAGGGCACTGGTCAGAGGCAAAGGACTTGCCATAGGGCTCCTCAAATTTGCACGTGAGAATCTCCTGAGGATCTTAGTAAGATGCAGCATCTTGGTCAGCAAGTAGGAGGGGGATTAAGAGACTGCATTTCTAGAAGGCACTCACAGGATACAGATGCATGCCGCTGGTAAGAATCTGCAATCATATTTGCTGTTTTCCTTCCCCAGTCCTGTTTCTTATTAACCAGGCTCTCTTGGGCATTGTTCTAACCTTCCTCTGTCCCGTTCTCCTTCTGAGTGAAACAGGCTTATAAACACATCCACCTCCAAGGGTGGAGGATTAAATAAATTAAGTCTACCTAAAGCCTTTTGTAGAGTAGCTGTCACATAGTAAGTGTTCTATTGTCCTTTCCTGGAAGAAAAAAAAAAAAAAGTAGCTTTAAACTTAAATTTTCATTCCAGGCCCATCCTGATCCAAATGCCCTTTCTTCTCCCACTCTTCAAAGTAGCCCTCAGGTCAGATACCTCCCTTTCTCCTGTAAGATGGCTTTTGCCACATTACACTTTTCAACTTGGCTTGCACAGAAGGTAAGATTTCCCAGGGAGCTACAGGAAGCGTGAAGGGCAGGAGCCATCTTTCCGTTCGCGTCTAAAGGTGAGTACTTGGCTTTTAAGCGTCTTCTGTGCAACATGGGCATACTTCTGTTTCCAGGAGCCACTCTCCCCTGGGCTCGTCACCCGTCATCTGTAGGCTTTCTCAGTGGCTCCCTCTCTTTCGCTGACAGGAAAGAAAAATTCCATTCTTCTGCAGAAGTTCCAGAAGGATCTGAACACTGGCGTCTTCAACAATCAGGAGAACGAGATCCTGAAGCAGATCGTGAAGCATGACCGCGAGATGGTGCAGGCAATCGCTCCCATCAGTTATCCCCAAATGACAGCCCTGAATTCCACCTCCTCCACCACGACGCCGACCTCCCGCATGAGGACACAGTCTCCGCCGGTGTACACAGCCACCAGTCTGTCCCACAGCAACCTGCATTCCCCCAGCCCCAGCACACAGACCCCCCAGCCGTCCGCCATCCTGTCGCCCTGCTCCTACACCACTGCGGTCTGCAGCCCTCCCGTACAGAGCCCGCTGGCCACTCGAACTTTCCACTACGCCTCCCCCACTGCCTCCCAGCTGTCACTCACGCAGCAGCAGCTCCAGCAGCCCCCGCAGCCCCCGCAGCCGCCCCCGCAGCCACAGACGCCCGGCGGCTCCACGCCGAAAAACGACGTGCACAGGAGCACGCAGGCGCTCCACAACGCCAGCCTGACCCGAGAAGTCAGGCCCCTGTCGGCCTCGCAGCCCTCGCTGCCTCATGAGGTTTCCACTCTCATTTCCAGACCTCATCCCACTGTGGGCGAGTCCCTGGCCTCCATCCCTCAGCCCGTGACCGCCGTTCACGGCCCGGGCCTTCAGGCAGGGGGCAGGGGCACCGTCCCCCAGCGAGTCACCCTGTTCCGACAGATGTCCTCGGGAGCCATTCCCCCTAACCGCGGAGCCCCTCCCGCACCCCCTCCACCAGCAGCTGCTCTTCCGAGAGAGTCTTCCTCAGTCTTAACTACAGACCCAGAGGCAGAAAAGCCACGATTTGCTTCAAATTTATGATCCCTGCTGATTGTCAAAGCAGAAAGAAATACTCTAATAGACTGAGCATCTTCTCAGACCTTATTTTATTCTATCTCCTGATAGATTCCTATAGCCTACTACGAAGAGATATTTTAGACAGCTCTGGCCTACATGCAAAATGTAAAATATATAAATATATATCTACTATTAAATATCTATCTAAATTCCCAAGAGAAGTTCAAAAGACCTGTTTAGCATTCAGTGTTATATGTCTTCCTTTCTTTAAATCATTAAAGGATTTAAAATGTTGTTGTAAGATCGTTTATTTTTAACCTACTTTTACTGAATTCCTTTGATATATGTATTTCTCTACTTTAGGAAGAGTTCTTGGATTCAGTGGAAACAAAACTCTGATTTTTAAAAGGCAACTCAAGTGACCTACTGAATAGCACCAACCAAAACTTCTTTCATTAGCTGTGTCTCTGCATCTAAATTGTTAATCATTAATTATGGAGAATTAAATAGCAAGTCCCATTTTATAGATCCAAATTGTATTTTGGTGCTTTCAATTTTGAATTAGGTTACAGAACACGCCGTATGCTTGGCCACGGTTGGAGACTTGCATTGCCACCGTTAGGAATATCTCTAACCTCAAACACGTTCATTGATCTTTCAGAAAGCTGAGGGGATATTTGTCTTCATGTGTTATCGGACTTTTACCAAGACTCAATCAATGTTAGTTGTAAATAACTTTTTCAACCCAAATAAAAATAGCTATTCTGTGCTGTATGAGGGTAAAAGTCATCACTTAAGAATTTAGTTTTATTGCTTCACTTCAAAACTTAGAGTTTGAAATTTTACAAAACCTAATTGTGACAGTTATTCAACTGTAATGCAATGGCTTGAAACCTACAATATTATTTTAACCTGCAATGTTTTATGCAAAACTGTATGCTCAATTCTACAAATTGCTTGTATTACACCAAAAAATCATTACTTTTCTTCCTTCTTGCCATAACCAAGCATCTGAAAATAGTCCCTGCATGCTTTTTGGGGAAAAAAAAATATATAGGTTCAGATCAGTCACTGTAGGGAGAGGCTTACAGTATTTCTCATTTCTAGAAAAATATAACCATTCATTAATTGCCTATCTTAAAATTCCTATAAGGCTGACTTGAATCTCTGACATAAGTCTAGAAGTGAGGTTTTCACTTTCATTTAATATTATTACTATTATTACTATTATTTAAATAATGATTTGTAAACCACAGCTTGATTTGGAGTTGCCAGTGTGTTCTGTGTCTTTACTGTTGGTAGTTGGTAGTTTACCCTGGTGTTGATTTAAAATAACTAAATACACGATAGCATCATGTCTGTTTGGGAACACACATTTTGTTCTATGTATATTGTAATAAAATGGTTAGTAAATCTTAAGGCATGTGGTGACTAACATAGCCCTTAGATAGGAGGTTTGTTACTCGGAACGTGCTGGAAAATGTATGGACGTGATGACAGAAAGCAAGGGGCAAACTGAATGTGAGCATTGTTTGTTTGTCTGTTTCCTTCTCTCCATGATCTGTGAACATCTGCTGCTTCTCAGAGAAGTCCCTTAGTAATCATTTGTGCCTAATGCATCCCACAAATGTGGTGGATGACTGGAACACAATTGGAAGATTCCTAATAAACGACTTCTGTAAATAACCCAAGTTAAGAGAATGACCTGAAGTGGAGGTCTTTGGTATTTTTGACACTGGCGATACATTCAAGAAGAACTTAACAAAGGTCACACATTAAATGGGGCAGGGCCTCCAGACAGACTTGAGGACAGAAAACAAAACTAAAGCAAAAACTCTAAAATGGATCCATGCTGCCTGTTATGCCTTTTACGGATATAATACCTATAATACCAAAATGAGTTGTTATGTTTCCTTTCTAACAGATCCCAGCTTGTGTGGAAGTAATCAACAATGCTACTCAATGTAATGCTGTCGTTAACATGCTGGTGACATCTGATGGCATGTCAGGAATGGTGTAAGAAGGGGATTGTTCAGTCTACCTAGAACCTATGGGAAAGCTGCAAGACCATTTACATATCAGTACAAAACTCCTTTATTTTATTAAAATATTGAGAATTAACTTCAATTTACTAAGATCATGTATTGGTCCTTTAAATTATTAAAGGTTTACATTTGATAGTACTAATGGGTTTGGTAGTGAAATATTTTTATATATAAATTTTTGGTTTTTTATTTTGAGCACTATTGGGAAACATAAGCAAAATTGAATTGCATGGTCTTTCAGTGCAACCATAAAATTTTTATTCACTTTGTAACAGAATGGACAAAAAACTAAGGTTTATATGTTAAACTAAAAATAAATGGTACAGGGTAAATTATATACATATATATGTATGAATATATATGCTTAGATTAAGAAAAAAAATTGACTCACATTCCTGTAATATAAAAGTCCATTGCTAGTTGAAAAGTGACCTCTTTTCTCTGTACATAGTTAAGCCCATGAGTATGGAGTTTTAATCTGTACAGAAAGAAATGTATTATTGAAAAGATTGGTCTTTCTGCTGCTGGGAAAATAGTAGAATAGCTGATTCTTACAACAACTGTTATGATCAGGGACGAATTAGAGTATTTCTTTTGTCTTTGCTCAAAGCCATATATATATAAATATATATAAAGATTATTAATAAATTCAACAGAAAATAAACTAACATCATGAATAGTTTATTTTATCAATATACTCTAATCAAATGTTTTGTTTTATTAATGAGTACAGATTTGCCTCTTTCTGCCTTTACATTGTAAGATCTCCAAGTAGGCTTATACTTGATAGTCATTATAAACTTAATTATAGATAAGCCCATGACTGTAGCGAGGAAGGTAAATAGAATGTGTGTTTCCCAGTTGTCCCTGTGTTTTACCTCTTCCATATAGTACTAGTTGAAGTCTACTTATTCTTTGCTCTGTACCTCCTTAACATGTGGTTGTTGCCCAATTCCAAAACACAGTCATTTCTGTGCTATTAGATTTAGAGATGGGAAAAAATCACCTTACAATTTATTATACAATCCTCTTTTATGACAGCCTTCGCCCTTGCAAAGGCTTTTGATAGTGATAGAACCTCCCTTTACAAGTGGATTTTGAATCAGACCTAAAAGCCTGACATAGCGTTTATTGCATTGAACGAAGGATTCTTGAAAACTGTAAGGATAAATGGCAGGAATGGCAATAGATTCTATTTATCAAATAAATAGCCTGTCTCCGGGTCTCAGGGACCACTCCATAAGTGAATGATTCCCTGACGGATGCCATCCCACTTTAAAATGGTGGTTATTTTGCAATTTATAAACTTAAGTGAGCATAACATCTGCAGGACATTACAAAGTACACAGTCAAGTTAGGCTAGTTCCTAAAGGACTTGGGTAATTTAAACAATATGATGTGTTTTAAACTTTAGATGTTATTATTTTAAATCCTGAATTATTTACACTTTAAAATAGAAGTGATCTCTATCATCTTTCAGGCCTATTTTTAAAAGTCCCCATGACTTCTTAAATTTAAGTGTTTATATTTGTTAATTTTATAATTTTACTATGCTACTTAGCTCTTATGAATTTTACTTTCATAATTTATGACATTAGGCTGTGTGAACAAGATTTATCTCCTTGATGCCTCTATCCTTCTAGAATTTGTGCCATAAAACCCAAGTCTGATTATTTTGTTCATCTACACTACACCTAGCAAAATTTTATGACATGTTCGGCCTATTTGAAAATTACTTATGCTCTGCAATACAAAAGAAATGTAGTCCTCTTAGAATAATTGGATGTTAAGCATCAATAGCTATTTTGAGTCCTGAAAGTAATGGTCAAAAATTTAAGCAAGTGTGACTGGCTGCATGCACTAAATTGTTAGCTCGGTTCTATAACTTTATTTAATATGTCCTCTTTCCAGGAAAATAAGATGGAATAAAGAAAATTTGCGGGCGCCTGGGTGGCTCAGTTGGTTAAGCGACTGCCTTCGGCTCAGGTCGTGATCCTGGAGTCCCGGGATCGAGTCCCGCATCGGGCTCCCTGCTCGGCAGAGGGCCTGCTTCTCCCTCTGACCCTTCCCCCCTCATGTGCTCTCTCTCTCTCTCTCTCATTCTCTCTGGCTCAAATAAATAAATAAAATCTTTAAAAAAAAAAAAAAAAGAAAATTTGCTGTTGTATTCAGGGTTAAGTATGCCTGCTACTGGCACTGGGAGGGACTTTCTTAAGCAATTTTGGTTCTGTCCTTTTTAAAAATGGCATCTATTTTTTATAAACTAGCCAACAATGAATTCAAGCATGAAGAGAACTCTTGCTTTTAAAAGGGAGCAGAGAAAGTATAAATTACCTTACTTAAATTCATCAAAGATGCAGGAGTAAATCCAGCCAGAAGACCCATATTCTCCTCCTCCCATTTTGGAGTTTTTGGCCAAATGCCACATTCCTTCCTTCCCTGGGGGCAATTAACATTTCTGTTAATACTTGTCACTTTGTTCATCATCATTTTCTTTATAGCTTCAGGGCATGAAAAACATGAGCTTTTCTATATAGGAAGAATTTCATGGCATATTCACAAATCTATCACAAGACAAAGGTAATTCCATTATGTTATTCAGAAGAAAATATTTGCAGTTTTGTAATACCTGGCTGCTTTTCAATTTTGAATACTCTCCCAGTGAAATCATTGCTCCCTTTTCCCCAAATTCAAACATGTTCTCTCTGCCACTGAGCCATCAGATAGGGAGATGGTCTCCTTAAGCGAGGCCAGCACAAGGGTAACAAGGGTGAGGCCTCATGCACAAAATCTGAAGTGGCCCAAATCTCAATAACAAAAGCAAATAATATTTTTTTAAAGATTTTATTTATTTATTTGAGAGAGAGAATGAGATAGAGAGAGCATGAGAGGGGGGAGGGTCAGAGGGAGAAGCAGACTCCCCGCTGAGCAGGGAGTCCGCTGCGGGACTCAATCCCGGGACTCCAGGATCATGACCCGAGCCGAAGGCAGTTGCTCAACCAACTGAGCCACCCAGGTGCCCAAAAGCAAATATTTTAATGCAACTTTTAAAACACCAGAATTAAAGTAATAGTTGATAATGAATAAATGTCACAATCTTAAATGAAGACAAGATCCAACCCTGCGCCTCCATGACCCTGCTTCAGTTGCTTCCTTCGTCCTGGCCCTGCTTCCTATGGAGACTCTGATGGGGCAAAAGGGGCTTTGAAGGGTTTCTGTGGTAGAAGTCTTGCCCTGATTTGCCCCATCACACCGAGAGAATTATTGAAAGGCGATATTAAAAGGCGCTGTCCATAAGGTTCTGGACTTGTTTCCAAGAGTAATGTATTAAATGCCGGACAAAGAATTAACCTTACTTGACAAAGGAAACATGCTTTGCTTAAGTATGGATGTTCACCAGCACAGCTGGTTGGGCCCATCGGCCAATATCTCAGGCTGAAGGAGAGCAGAAACTGAATGAGAAATGCTGGTTTTAAACCTTCGAAAGTGCTTTTAGTATCAGACCAATGGTTTTACAGTTTTATGCCTTATCTTCATAATTCTATGAAACCAAGATTTCCAGTTGGGTGGATACATGTTGAAATGTGTGTTTTGCTAACATGACAGGAAAAGTCATTTATGACAGCAAATGGGGGGGTTGCTATTTACAATCCCACACAACCCTAAGGAGGGGCTAGATCCCAAGGAAAGACTTTGCTGAACAGGACAATGGGGATGAGAAGTTGAAATGGAAATTGCTTTGCCTAAGACAAGGCATAGAGCGGCTGGGGAAGAATTTGAGAATATGAGAGTCAGGACCTGTATGAACAGAAAGGAGTGATGAAATAGTTTTGGTTAAAACTCCAGAGGTTTTCCACATCTTAACTGGCATCATTACACTTCAAAGATTGACAAAGCTGGATATTCTTTGGAGGTATTACATTTCTAATATAGAATCAATGGCCACTTATTCCCAAAGGGAAATATCGCTTCATTTTTTTTAATTGTAAATGTTTAAGTAATAACAGTTGAGCAGAGGAGAGTATTTATTTATTTAATTGAACATGTCTGAGTAAATATAATAATTGTTCGAAAGATAAGGACGATTTTATGTTTTCATTAGATTTACATAATTAAATATAAGTGTTTCAGAGTTATTCAGACATTCTTTTAATAGTGAAGCAATTTTACAAAAGAGAAACAAATTGTCTTTTTTTACCAGACTAATCCTATCTTTCCACAGAGAAAATTTAGATTCATAGAGGCAAAGATATTTTTTGAAAGATTTTTTTAGTTTTTCTTAAATTTATGAGGGAAAACCACTCAGATATGGGAGATTTATTTTTGAGGAGAAGAAAGCATAACACAGGAAAGTTTGAAAGATTCAAAAGAAGTTTGCTGAATGTATTCTCATTTGTTTCTTGTAATGTATTTGTCCAAGGCCTTTGTTTCCAAGCATTTCCAAATAAAAGTTGTTTGCTTAACTATTTTCCAAGATCTATTACCAACCTAACATACTACAATTCTATTGAAAATGTACAGTTCTGAATTGCTCTAAGTATGATATTCTGATATCTAACATAATGAAGTATTTCATTTGAGAAAATTAGTGTTTAACAGAAAAAGTTTGTATACACTATGTAGCATGCATTCTCCATACATCTTCATACCAAGGATCAAAGTATATTAACTATATTGGCTTGTTAACAAACATATTAAAAGATCCAAGTGATTACTGCCCTCCTCAAAGAAATTACCTTAAAATGCCAAACACATATCCCAGAGATGTTTGCATGAATCAAAATATGTTTGACTCCCCCAACAATTCAGAACAGCCTTCAGGACTCACAGCAAGTTGATACGAATATTCTCAACAGTGGTTTATCTCAGTAATAGTAAATCCCATTTTAGGAGTTAGCCAAAACTCATTTGAAGCCCTATTTTCTTTAACAGCAAATGATGTAGTTTAACATCACTATTTGCAATCAAAAACAAAATGTGATTGTTTTTATGCATGGCTCATAAATTGCATCTGAAGTCCTTCTAGATATGTTCCAAAAGACTCTCTCTCCCACTCTCTCTCTCACTCCCACCTCCTCTTTCTCTCTCTCTCTCTCTCTCTATATATATATGTCTTCCCAAATTCAAAGTCTCAAGAATCTAAAGATCTGTGATATTTTACTTTTAAAGGTCTATTTTATAACTTTATATCTATCCTAAGTTATTTTTACTCTCACAGAAGAACAATGATCAAAGCCATCGATTTGGGCTTGTTTTGCATAATTATTTTTAAATGGATGATTATTTACATATGACAGTCTACATTTCTATGAATAAATGGCATTGACTCTTAATTTCTCCATGTGTGAAACTCTCAGATAATAACTTCTTAAACTGGTACCTCTAATCAAAATTTAGTCTTTCTGAAGCTAGGTTGTTATTCGCCTTCACATGAGCTACATTAGCAAAAATCTTTTACATGATTTTAATTGCTTCAAGCTATGAATGTTGGCAAGTTTTGAGACTGGCTAGTTTGTTCAAACAATTTCTCAACTAAATTGACTACAAACGTATGTCAAAGTTTTAGTTTAAACTTGACAAGAGGGTTGTGAGTAAGCAAATCAATGCAAAGATTCCTTCTAGGTAGAACTATTTTGTAAGAAAAAAAATGATTGGTTTGACAATCATT